TGGAGCAGAAGCTATGTTAAGGCACATGCAAGATAAGGAGGTGATCTGAGAGCCAGCATAGCTTCACCAATGGCAGATCATGCCTGACGAATCCGGTGGCCTTCTATGATGAAGTGATGCCACCAGCAGACAGAGGAAAGGCAACTGGAATCGTGCAAGGCTTTTGACATGGCCCCACACCACATCCTTAGCTCTAAATTGGAGAGGGATGGATTTGAAGGCTGGATTATTAGGTGGATAAATAAACGGTTGGACGGTCACAGCCGGGGGCTGTTGTCAATGGATTTGTGTCCAGGAGGAAGCCGGTCACAAGTGGTGACCCCCAGTGCTCTTCAGCATGTTTATCAATGGCACAGACAGCCAGATCGATTGCACCTTCAGCAAGTTTGCTGATGACACCAAGCTGAGTGGGGGGACTTGGGGTCCCGATGGACAAAGAGCTGGAGGGACAACACTGTCCTGGGCTACGTCAGCAGAGCGGTGGCAGGCAGGGACAAGGAGGCGACTGTCCTTCTCTACTCTGCCCTTGTGAGGCACCATCTGGAGCGCTGCATTTAGCCCTGCGGCTTTCTTCTTTTCATCTTCTCTCCTTCCCTCCCTCCTTTTCTTTTTCCCCCTCTCCCTCCCTTCCTCCCTTCCTTCTCTTTCCCAAAGTGTGTGTTAGTAAGTCAAGGAAAAGATAATTCAGAGAAGTTCCGCATCATGTGTTTTAAAAAATATGAAACTAAGTCTCTTTGTGGTTTCATGATTTATAAATGCCAGTAACTATCCCAGTTTAATCTGAATCCTACTGTTCTGAAGATAAAACTCACTGTTACACGTTAAATTAGACTGCAGATCACATAACTGCAAGAACCACGTGCATCACCAGCAAATATGGGTAATGAAATGGAGAACCGGCACAGGAGGAATGAAAGAACATGGATACACATAAACAAAAAGGTTCCTCCAAAGCATTTGAAAAAATGCTGATCAGATAATTTTCATACCAGGAACCCAAGGTGTTTGACCACCAGACTAAAGGAAAACTTGCAATACAAAGCATAAAAATTAAGACAAGAGCATTTTCCACATGCTTGCAACATTCCCTGCTATCTGAAGGAGCCACGAGAAGAAGGATTTTGCTGGACCTTATTCTTACTAAGAAGGAAGGGCTGGCTGGGGATATGAAGGTTGGGGGCAACGTGAGATGCAGCAATCACGAGATGATGGAGTTCAGGATCTTGTGTGGAAGAAGCAAAGCAGCATGTAGGACTGCCAACCCTGACCTCTTGCAGGATGTACATGGAGGTGTCCCATGGGCTGAGCGTTGGAAAGCAGGGAGGCCTGAGGGAGCTGCTCAGCCCTCAAACACAACTTCTTCCAAGCTCAGGATTGGTGCACGGCTAAGAGGAAAAAGTTGGGGAAAGTTGGCAGAAGGCCTGCATGGATGAGCAAGGAGCTCATGGATAAACTCAAAGGTGAGAAGAAAGTCTATAAAATGTGGAAAAAGGGCCTGTCTGGTTAGGAGGAATACAGGAATGTTGTTAGAGCCTGTAGGGATGCAATGAGGAAGGCCAAGGCCCACTTGGAATCAAATTTGGCAAAGGAAGTCAAGGATAACAAGCAAGCAAGGTGTTTTTAAGTATGTCAGCAGTAAAAGGAAGACTAAGGAAAATGTGAGTCCATTACCGAATGAGGTAGAGGCCCTGGCAAGAAGGGATGCTGGCAAGGTGAAGATACAGAATGCCTTGTTTGCTTCTAGCTTTACTAATCAGACTGCGCCTCAGGAATCTCAGACCCTGGACATAAGAGAGCCTGGGGAATGGAAGCCTTCCCCTTAGTTGAGAAGGATATGATTAGAGAGTGTCTGGCCAAAACCAACTCACACAAATCCATGGGCCCTGATGGGATGCACCCACGTGTGCTGAGGGAGCTGGCAGAAATGACCGCTGAGCCACTCTCTTTTATCTTTGAGAGGTCCTGGAGAACAGGAGAGATGCCTGAAGACTGGAGGATAGTCAGTATCACACCAGTCTTCAAAGAAGGCAAGAAGGAGGATCTGCAAAACCACAGGCCAGTCAGCCTCACTTCTGTCCTTGGAAAGCTTGTTCTGGATGCTATCTCCAAGCAATTGGAAGAGAAGTGTTGATGAAGGGAGAACAGTGGATGCTGTCTTGACTTCAGCAAGGCATCCGACACCGTCTCCCACAGCATTCTTGTTATGATACTTAGAAATTGTGGGATATATGAGTGGACAATGAGGTGCATCGAGACTTATCCCATCATGGTTAAAAGGGACATCCATCCGTGCACAGCCCAACCTCTCCTTTGAATCAGGGCTATCAAAAACACAAGGCCAGGTCTGCATTGAAACCTTGCAAGGTAGGAACTCAGCCCATGCGAGCAGCTTTTCCTAGCGCTGCACTGCGCTCCTGATGGAGAATGTTTCCTGAAGTCCACTCTGAATGAGTCGAGCTGTAATTGTGGAAATTGTTCCTATTCTATTGTCTGCCACTACGAAGAAGCATTGGGCTCCATCGTGCTTCTCTGCTCTTCAGATAGCAGCACTGTGCAGTTAGACAGCCTTACCCTACCCGGATTGAGGAGTGGCTGACAGCAGAGCTCTGCGATTAGCGCTCTGAGCTCTGCCTGTCAGCCAGTGGAAAGGCAAAAGATTAATAGAACCTGTAGCATCTCCTGTATGAGGCAAGATTGAGGGACTTTGAACTCTTCAGTATGGAAAAGAGAAGGCTGAGAGGGGATCTCATAGCTGTTTGTAAGCATAAGAATGAGAACATTCCTGCATCCTTCCTCTGGACTGGGACTGCACTGTTCATCAGCTCCTGCAATTGTACTGCAGCCTGGCTTCTCTGAAATGAGAGATAATTAAAACCTTCCCTGGTACTGCTTTCTCCACTCAGAATAGAAAGTGCCTCTCTCTCCATTACAAAAACCATTCCCAGCCCAGAACAAAGGCCAGAAGTTTTTGGTAAGTAGAGATCTCACCACAAGAAAGCAGGGCCCAGCATAATTTATATTGCTTCCTCCTTGCCATCTATGTGTGGGGCCCCAGTGTGATGACATCCTGGCTCAGATGCTATAAACAAGGCCATATTAATGGATCATAAACTCCTTGGAGGCTGGCTGGATGTCTGTATTAGGTTATGAGTTCCTGAAAGCAGAGATAACAACAAGGTGAATCTGAGAATGGAAAGTTGGAGAAACGGAAGTTAAGACACTGGAGCAATACCTCCCCTTTGCTAGCCCTGTTTATCTGAGCCTCTTACAAAGAAGTTGGTGAATGTGATTCTGGTTTTAGCATCACGTGGGTGAGGAGATCTGGGCTAAGCAGCGCAAGGTCAGATGGCAAATATGCCATTATAATGCTGCTGCTCCCTGAAACATCAAGCAGCTAAGGAATGGCCACCTGCAAGAGAAGGCATAATGCATCAAGGACTACGAGAAAATTGGCTTAGAGTCCAAGTCCAGATTGGAGTTCATTTTCTGATAGCCCTTTGGTAGATTCATTCCGGATAACTTTACAACCATATTGAAACTAAAGAGTTTGCCTTTATTCTGACTATAGGGGACACCTCAAACCACAACTCCTTACTACTTACAATCATAGAATCTCAAGGTTGGAAGGGACTACAAGATCATCCAGTCCAAGCATCCTCCCAGCACCACGGCCGCCCCCAGCACCAAACCACACCTCGCAGCTCCTCCTCCAGGCGCCCCTTGAGCGCCGCCAGGGACGCGACTGCGCCGCCTCCCCGTGCAGCCGCAGTCAGCACGGTTTCAGTGCGTATCCCAGCGCCCTGCCGTGATGCCAGCAGTCTCTGTGCTACTGAAATACACCTATGTAGCGCCAATCCTTTTTTGTGGACAGTACTGCCGCCTTTATGTCCTCTTCGAAATAGATTTTGGTTTAACTATGTGATAAAACTGAGAACTCGTGATTCATTGGCCATCTAATGTAATCAATCCTTTCATTTCTGCTTTCCAGGACACAGCCATTAGCCAGTAACCACAAACTGCTCTGTGGGACTCTCATGGAAACAACAGCCCTCCTGGATGACAATTATCCATTGTTACATACAGCAAGAGATTTTAAACCGAAAGTTTATGAATTACTGCCCAGTGTTTATCCAGCTCTTCATGCACTACTGCCAAAAGCTTTATAAAAATCCCTTATCCATTTCTGAGGTGCCAAAATGCCTTTTTTTCACACACTCTGCCTCGGAGATACAAAACTTGATCTTTTCACCACTCTACTGATGGAGAATTGAGACACACATTTGAGGAGCAAACAACGTAACAGTCAGATTTTGAAGGTCTTTAAGTCACTGAAGAAACTATGAAACAGACCATGTTTAATGACTGCTTTTGGAGAGAAGCACAGGGCAGAGTCCTTCTATCCAGTGCACAGAGGGAGCTTGGAGATGCTTAGGGCTGTAGGTTAACGTGGCTGGAGGAACAGCATCCTCATGCATCAGGACCTTAAAGACAGCCAGAAGCTTCCCTAATCGTGAGTTACAGAATCCAGTATTGCTCATTTGTCTTTGAAAAACCCAACACTAGACAATACATGAGTCTGAGTTGTTTAGAGAAAGCAAACTGAGAAGGTGTGATAAGGTCTTTGAATAACACCAGCATAAGTGGAATGCAGCATAAAATGATGTAATTGCTGTATCAGAGTCCCTTGGGTGTTTATTCATGAAATGCCAAGCGCATCGCTGAATGCAAGTTCATCTGTGTTCAGTAATGCATTACTGACAATGAGAAAAAGCACCAGCTTTTTTTTGCCTTAGTACAGGGACTCTAATGGGGGGTAAGGAGCTGAGGAGTGCTTCCCACCAAGGAGATGGATGCCAGGGTGGGGGCCAGTATCACTTGATCTGAAGTAGAAAAGCATCTTCCTGCAAGACTTCATTGCAGGCATTTTCCAGACAGCTCAGGTATTTTTAAAGAAAGACATGACCACAGCTCTGCCTAAATCAAGCTTCTGTCCTTCAACACAGAATTGACAATATGACTTCATGACGCTGTAATCTATTAGAAAGGAGATTCTAAAAGACCACAGTACTGCAAGGAATAAAACAGGTAAGCAAATCTCACACAATCGTATTTCCACTGGTGTTATAAATAGACTTATTATTATCTTGCTCAGCAATGTACAGTGCTTGTAGTTAATGACAGTCTTCACTCCCTCTCACAGTGTGCAACAACAACCCTTCCCATTTTGCCTAGAGCTGATACTATAGGAAGTGTCCAAGAATTTCACAAAACATGCCATTTTCATTTATCACCGTCAGCTGTAGGAAATTCCCCACGATCCTCTGGTCCAAGATCTCTGCAAAACAAAAACAAAAGACAACAAAACCCCATCTCAGTATTGATTGCCCTCACATCTCCTCAGTCTGTTCTTTGCACCCTCCTTGATTCGTAAACCTAAATCCATTACAATGCTGCTGCAAATATTCTTTCTCCAGGTTGGTACGTTAGCTATATCCTCACCTCATCTCTGCTGCACAGTTTCTATAATGCAACAAAGCACGCCACATCTTCTACCTTTTAAAATCCCTTATAATGGTTTCCTGTGCTTTTTTAATTTTTGTTACAAACCACAGGGTAGTTACCTATTTCTTCTCTTCTATCATCAGTGGAATCAACATCTTTTGGTATCTTCCACAATTCTTTCTGTCATTCTTTTTGAAAAAGAGGAGAAAAGATTCCACTGAGCATCGAAGAGACATTGGAACAGGTTGCCCAGAGAGGCTGCCTCCTTCTTGGAGGCATTCAAGGCCAGGCTGGATCACAGAATCATGGAATGGCTGGGGTTGGAAGGGACTTCAAGGATCACGAAGCTCCAACCCCCCACCAATGCAGTGCCACCAACCTCCCCATTTCACAGCAGCCCAGGCTGCCCAGGGCCCCATCCAACCTGGCCTTGAACACCTCCAGGGATGGGGCTTTGAGCAACCTTGTGACAGGTGACCCCCTACCTAAAGCAGGGGGTTGGAACTAAGTGATCTTAAAGGTCGCTTTCAACCCAAACCATCCTATGATTCCTTGGCAGTGGATTATTTTGCTTTACAATATATTGGATTATTGTTTTTTTCAGGTTCTTAAAAATGACTAGGAGTTGGTTCCTGTGATTGTAAGCTGTTTTGTCAATCACTGCCTTTGATGACATAGCTGTCTTTTGTAAAGTATTTAGGATGCACACTCAGGAATTGCATGTGTGCAGAGGACTTAGAGGTCATGCTGCTTATCTCCACATTTTGCCTTATTGGCCTTAGCTTGACAAGGCTTTGCCTTGTAACAGAGGCCTCTGTGGTAATACTTGAATAATAGCAGGATTGAGATCTGAGATTGGTATCATCTGTTCTCCAGGATTTTGCCACATTATCCTAGATCAGCAGATGAGTCCAGCCCTCGTCTCTTGCAGTATTTGAGAGCAACAAGACAAATAGGTAATGAAAGAAAAAGGTACCAATATCATTAATGTACAGCCCTACTGCTCTGCACCGTGCACATATGTCACCTTTATATCATTCACAGAGCTTTTTCCCAGATGGAAGCTGATAGAGAAACTGATGCAGCTGATAACCTTCAGCACACATCCAAGTGATCGGAACAGCAAGAAAGATAAGGGAAAATGCTTTGCTGTTCAGCCCATGTCAAAGCCCCAGCATCACAGAATCACAGAATCAGCCGGGTTGGAAGGGACCTCAAGGATCATGTAGTTCCAACCCCCTGCCCAGCAGGGCCACCAAACATCCACATTCAGATCAGGCTGCCCAGGACCCCGTCCAACCTGGCCTTGAACACGGCCAAGGACGGGGCATCCACAGCCTCCCTGGGCAGCCCGTTCCAGGCCCTAACCGCTCTCCTTGTGAAGAACTTCCCCCTAACATCCAACCTCAATCTTCCCTCCCTCAACTTGGATCCATTTCCCCTCGTCCTGCTGTTGTCAGCCCTTTGGAAGAGTTTACTCCCCTCCTGGGTGTAGGTTCCCTTCAGGTATTGATAGGCTGCACTGAGGTCACCCCGCAGCTTCTCTTCTCCAGGCTGAACAAGCCCAACTCCCTCAGCCTGTCCTCATAGGGGAGGTGCTCCAGCCCCCTGCTCATCTCAGTCGCCCTCCTCTGGACCCTTTCCAAGATCTCTCTGTCTTTCTTGTCCTGAGGGCTCCACACCTGGACACAGGACTCCAGATGGGGCCTCACAAGAGCCGAGTAGAGAGGGACGATCACCTCCCTGTCCCTGCTGACCACCCCTCTCCTGATGGAGCCCAGGATCCCATTGGCCTTTCGAGCTGCCAGAGCGCACTGCTGCCTCATGTTCAGCCTCTCGTCCATCAGGACCCCCAGGTCCTTCTCTGCCGAGCTGCTCTCAAGGACATCGTTGGTCCACCTTGAACTGAAGGCGGACTCTGACGCCGGGCACAGCGCACCCCCCTGTGGGAGCACAGCACCACTCAGCGAACCTTCGGGGCATTCTGGCGTCCCACCCCCCCATGCTGAGCAGCCTGGCTGCTCGCTCCGGAGCACTCCCTGTTTCTCATCGGGGTTCTCTGCCGTCATCTCTGAGGTCAGGAAGAAAGACCACGCCTCGCCTGCTCCTAAACAAAAGACTATAGATAGCTGTGGCAGCAAATGCTTCTCATTATGTACTCCTCTCTCCTCAGACTGCCTGCCCAGTTGGGGGTGGGAGCAGCATGGGGCCCTGAGATGCCTGTGCTGCTCTGCTGTGTGTTTTCTGTTATGTGGGGTGAGGAGTGCATTCCTCACGGGCTTTGAATGTCTGCAAAACCCCAGAGGAATCCTCGGAGCAGTGGGAGGAGAGATCGGGCACGGAGAAGTTACCCATGCACATCGGGATAAGGCGTCCCCCTCCTGCATCGGCCTGCAAAGGCGTCCACACCTGATGGAAGTGCAAGTGCTACGGCAGCACGCCCTCTCAGCGTGTGTTTAAAAGCCTCACTCTTCCCACCAACACAGCTTGTTTGGCTAGGCTTAGTCTGGCAAAACAGATCAAGCAGTGATAAACCTGTCTGCCTGTGCACTTAGAGTCAGTGCAGGATAGGTAAAGGAATCATTTCAGATGAAGACTGACTGTGAACCAAGAACAGATAGATATAAACTGGCTATTATTGCATTCAACAAGAATTCTGCTAGCTATTACAGCTATCAGGCTTTAAAACATCTTTTCTGAGTAAGAAAGACATAGGAGCAAAAATTCCAGCGTCTGATAAAATTGAGTGATTACGAGATTTCATACCTATGGCAGCTTGAGTTTGGAGGCCCAAGAATTGCTGGCACCACATTCTTTTCCCGCATCACAGAACTCCAATATAGAGCCTCTCCTCATGGAGTATGCATGCAAGGCCTTGTACCAAGGACAGGAAACCAACCTCCCCGTCCCACTCCCTCTCAGCTTTATGTGTCTGATGCCTAGTTCATGTTTCAGTGTCTCTGACAGAGCCTGCACAGAAGATTGTTATGGATATAGAAACATGGAACTGGAAAAATCTTCCTGGGACAGCTGGACGCAGTGTTGAGTGGCCATTCCCCAGCTTGCTGCCAAGCATTTTTTTTCATCATCGTTCTCAGGATGCTTGTAGAATTGGGAACATTGCAGGACCTGAAGCATCAGCAGGATGGGAGAGCGCTGCCCGTGAGCCTTAACTGCAATGCAATCCAAACATCATCTCCACACCGCAGAGATGGGACGATCAACAAAATAATGGGCAGTTGGCAAAAGAGAGCCCTGGAGGGAAGTCTTGATATCCCTGGAGAAAGTGCATACGTCCAGAATATAAACAGAACTACTGACCTGCATCCTGCCCTGTACCCACATATCTGAGCCACTCCGAATCTGCTGGGAATAGCGTAAAAGGCAGCTCTGCTAAAGCGCACCTCTGAAAAAAGAAATCTGTACTAAAGTGCAGGTTACTAAAGTGCACCTCTGAAAAAAGAAATCTGTACTGCTACTGAAGAAATGCTAGCAGTAGTAGCAGTAGCAGGTCGAGGAGTGAGCTGCATGGATCCCAGTTAGAAATACGCATGCTGACCGTTCTCTGCAGAAGTGACATTTTGTGATTCCAGCTGATGCAATGCACAACATAATGCTGTGCGGACCACAAGATTGGCAGAGACAATGAGCACAGAGGCAAGCATAGTCCTGGTGACACCTTGCTACGGCCAGGCCAGCACGGCTCTTCTACAACTCCCAGTGCAAACCCTAAGGAGAAACAGCAGGAACATCCGCCTGCTCTGCAAAAGGCCGTGCCCTGCCCGTTTCTCGGCCACACCGCAGGCTGCGAGCGCTCACAAAGCCACGGGCAGCGCCCGCGTCAGTTCTGCTCAAGAGCCCCCGGGCAGCTCAGCAGCTCGGCGGGGAGCTCAGGCCCGCAAGGCGCTCAGCGCCGCGCTGCCGCACCCCAGCACCCCCCGGGGAGCTCCGCACGGCCGCAGCGCCGCACGCATCCTCCGGGCAGCTCCGCGCTCCTCCCGCGTCCCTCCGCTTACCGCGAAGAGGCTGCCCGTTGCCACGGCCGCGAGCCTCCGGCCCTCCCTCGCTGCCGGGCTCAGGTACGGGAGCGCGCTCCCGGGTCCGCCGAGCGCCGCGGCAGCAGCGAGGGACGGCCGCGCCCGCAGACGGGGACGCCGCCGGGCCGGGCGGGCGCTGCACGCGGATCGCCCGGAGGCGGCGCTGCCGGGACGAGGCGGGGCGGTGCAATGTGGGGCGGAGCGGTGCGGGCCGCCAGGGGGCGCTACGCAGCGTCCGCAGCGCCTACGTCACTGCGCGTGAGCGACGCGTCCCTGCGCGCGGCATGGAGGGAAGGCGGCCCGGCGGGCGGCGGAGCGCGGGCGTGAGTGAGCGCCGGCTGCGGAGCGGGGCGGTTCTGCTCGGGAGGAGTCCGGCCGGGCTCTCGGGGCGGCAGGGAGAGGCGGCGCCGCGAAGGAGGCTCGGCCGCTCCGGCGGGAGCTGTGCCGTAAGGCAGCGGGGCTGCGGCGCGGCGGCGCCCGGTTCGTCACGCGGTTTGTCGTCCCGCAGGTGCGGGGCACGGGCGGCAGCAGCGCCGTCAGCAAATGCTCGGCGGCGGAGCGGGGATACGTGCGGGACCGCTTCGTGCGGCTCCTTGCGGGCCGGCCGCGGAGGAGAACTGCGCTCATCCACCGGTAGGAACGCGCGGTGCGGCTCGGGGCGACGCGGCGGACGGGAGCGGCGAGCAGCGCCTGCCGCTCCGCGCTGTGCGTGAGCGCGGCTGTGCGGGGCGTTCAAACGCGGGCGCTTACAGTCCGTACCCGCGGTGAGCCTTGGTTAACGTGGGGCGGCTCGGTATGACAGTGACTGCGAACTGCCGAAGGAGTTTCGTGTAGGTAACATGAATTCAGGAGCTGGCAGGGCTGTGAGGGCAAACGCTGCTGATCGCATCTGAAAGTGCATCTGTGGCGAGGTGTCTGCTCACGTGGCGTCGGTGTGCCAAACTAAATTCATGCTAGGAGCTCCGTGTTACTGCTGTTAATGCTATCTTCCCAAATCCTTGGGTTTGTTTTAAAAGGTTTCTGTGAGGTCTGGGGATGGGGATAATGAGCGCCTGCTGGGGGAGTTGAACGGCTGGTGGGAACCCCGTGAAACTGAGTAAAACTGGTTTCCTGAGCACTGAGGAAAAGGAGGCAGCAGCCAGGTGGATGCTGAATGCTTTCCAGGAATTCAGTTTTCTTGGTTTTCATCACACAGAAAAAAGAAAACCAACACAGAGAATGAAACTCCTTTCAGTTTTCATTTTTGCTCCCTGTTAATGCTCTTGCACACGCAGCTTTCATTTTGTTATACCCAATAACTGCTGGTTGAGCACATCACCTTGTGTATAGAGGAGTTAATTTCGTATTGTCACACCATCTGATTTGGGGCAGGAAGTGAGATCACAGAATGACCCAGGTTGAAAGGACCCCAAGGATCATGAAGCTCCAGTTCCCCTGCCGCAGGCAGGGCCACCAACCTCCCCATCTCACAGCAGCCCAGGCTGCCCAGGGCCCCATCCAAGCTGGCCTCCAACACCTCCAGGGATGGACGGGGCATCACAGCCTCTCTGGGCAGCTGTTCCAGCCCCTCACCACTCTCTCTCTAAACAACTTCCCCCTGACATCCAACCTCCAGCTGCCCTCCCTCAACTCCAAACCATTTCCCCTCGTCCTGCTGCCATCTCCCCTTGCACAGAGCTGACTCCCCTCCTGGCTGCAGGCTCCCTTCAGGCACTGCAGGCTGCACTGAGGTCACCCCGCAGCTTCTCTTCTCCATGCTCAACAAGCCCAGCTCCCTCAGCCTGTCTTTGTAGGGAGGTGCTGCAGCCCTCTGCTCATCTTTGTGGCCCTCCTTTGGACTCTCTCCAACAGCTCCCTGTCTTTTCTTGTGTTGTGGACCCCAAATCTGGACACAGTACTGCAGATAGAGAGTAGAGAGGGAAAATCACCTCCCATTTCCATCTGACCACCCCACTTCTGGTGGAGCCCAGGATCCCATTGACTTTCCAAGCATCTTGAACACACTGCTGGCTCATGTTCAGATGTTCATCCATCAGGACCCCCAGGTCCTTCTCCACAGGGCTGCTCTCAAGCACTGCTCCTTCCAGTCTGTTTGGATGCCTGGGATTCCTCCAGCCCAAGTGCCAAATGTTGCAC